GTGTTCGTTTCTTCGCCAAAACTCCCAGATTTGCTACTTCAATATGATAGTATCATATATCTCGAAAGTCAACCTATTTACATTTCGACATGAATAACAGACCTGCAGCTACAAAAATGCAGTCCTGGAAGTCGTCCTCGAGCTCTAAGAGCTTTTTCACGTCAGCCGAAGTTTCCTCAGGGGTCACAACAACTCATGGTCGTCCCCTGCTCCAACCCCTTTTGGGATACTCACTAAACCCAGTTAGGAAGGAGGTTTATGACGGTAAATTACCCGTCAGTTGGGGTTTATGACGTCAATTGGTAACTTGGGGTTTATGACGTCAAAAAGGCATCCCTAGCCGAAACAGCGGATACGGCGGCGGACAGGATCGAAGATGATCTGACGAAACTTGGCTGGCACAGCCATAGAAAATTCATCTTTACTTACTCCTCGCTCGTGAAATAGCTTCTCGGATAAAGCTTCTAGGCAGGTATTGTTCGAGGATGCGTTATCTCCAGTATGATAACACACGCGTTGAATTTCGAAGCGCATAGTTTACAGCGATCTGGGTTACGACAAGAGAACTGTATTATTTCTATGTTATAATTTATTATTTCTATATTTATAAATTTACGGCACAGGATCCAGACCAGAGCCACGACTGCTCACAGAACCCTCTGCACCTAGCCTAGACACCTGGGAAGATTCGGCATAGGCGCCTTGAATCTGCACGGAATAGGGTGCTTCGTCGAGTAACATGTCGGTGTCTGCATGGCTAAACCCACGTGTTGCCTTTGTTGCCGGAGCCCCTTTTGCGTCCATGACATGCATTTCCACAGTGGTAGTGACCGTTGGCCAAGCCTTCGATTTGGGGCGTTCTCCTCCATCTTGTGTTTTATTCGCCAATGTATTATCGCCAGCTCGGGTTGCTCGAGATCTCGTGCCGGTATTGGTATTGTAGTCAGATCCGTGAGAATGTCCTGATTGCCGAGCGATCTTGGCGATGAGGCTGGCCATGGACATTTCGATGTTGAGTTTGACAATGTAAGCGAGCGGGTGAAACTGCATGTACCTGAGACGGCAGACGCCACGGTTAAAATCTCCCAAGCGGCAGGATTGACGGGGACATACACAAACGTGTTTTTCAAGCTCATCATGGAGACAATGAGAACATCCATGCTCAGGGAGAAAACGATGATGAACATGTTGAACTTGACCAGGTTGTCGTATTTGCTTAGTCCCAATTCCACCAGATTCGATCGGACGATGCGGATGAAGAGAAAGTTGAGACAAGCATCGACAAGGAGGTAGATGATCTTTTCACAGCGATCCCATATCTCGTTGATGTGTATATACGACTCGGAAATTTGTAGCCGGGCGGGAATCCAGATACAGTAGACGGAAATGTTGATAGCGGTGATGAAAGCTGCGACGCCATATTTGACTCGCCAGACGAAAGTCTGGTCGTGCAAAAGGATTGCACATCGGTTGACAATAATTTGCAGGAGGAACTGAACCTGAAGGGCCCATAAAGTAACTTGAGTGGAAAAGCGATGTTAGTTTAAGAACAGACCTGGATACAACCAAGATGTGTGGGTTAATAGACGTACGGATGCAAAAGTAGAAGGCGAAGCTGCATGCGATGTTAGAGACACAACAGATGGATGTATTCTCGAGACACTTACCTAGGCATAACGACGCCCAAAATGTACATGAAGCAAATAATGCCAAACCCAAGACAAACGGAAATCTCGCCCCAGATCATCCAGATGTATGGGTTGCGCAGCAGAGCAAAACCGCGTCGACGATAGGCGCTGGCGGTCTGCTGGATGGCCGACCATGCCGTCAGCCAGCCGATGCCCAGGGTGAAGCCCCAGGCAAGAGACGCAATGATCAAGTCATTTGTTGTCACTTCCTCCAGCACAAAGTTGTCAGGGAGCAAGGTGAGCATGCTGGAATGGCCAGCGGGGTATCACGAACAATGAAAGGAATGAGGGCAAGTTGGCGCTGCGGACGGACATGGAACCTGGCGCAAGAAACGAAAAAAGTAAAGAACAAGCAGTGTTATAATAGGTAAGAACCAGATCTCGAGGAGTCAGGGGTGATGAGAAGCCTGCTTTTTCGTCTCGCACGTATCATGTACACAACTGACGCACTAGCAGAACGGTCGGACCCTCTTGGCCCGAGCCTCGCGAAGACGTGCTCCGCAGGTACTCTGCATGCGAAGACAGAAACTACCAAACCAAATGGTTGATCTCTCATTTGTCTCCCCTTGTCCAAATCTGTAGCGTGAGCACAGGTAAACTCTAAGACCAGTTACTAGACGGCGGCGGACCGTCCCCGCAGATGTGTTAGAGAGCCGAGCGCTTTGGTATGACTGCCATTTGGACTCCTAGTTCTCTATTACTACTGCTAAGTGTTACATAGTACTGCCACTACTAATTACTACCATGCAGTACCCACCTACCGGTAATACCCACTTACCGGTAAGCAAAATAAAATTTCCTCATACAAAATGCCCAACTTCACTTGCACAGTGCTTGGCCAAAATTGAAGTTATTTACATGAAACAAGCTGTGTCTTATTAAGAGTTTTATGCTGTTTCATATTATGATATTACTTTTTACGTTACAGAAGCGGTTTGGCCGCACGGGCCTAATGTATAATTTCTAAAAACGCCTCGTTCAAGAATCGGCTTCCGCCAAGTTTCATCGAATTTTTATCTGTACTAACCTTCCGTAATCACCTCGAAAATGCCCCGAATGTCTTATACAGAGAATGGCGTTGTTGAAGCCTTACTGGATGTCACAGATAACGGCCTCTCCCAGAACCAAGCCGCCCAGAAGCATGACATCCCCCAGACGACTCTCTCAGACCGATTAAGAGGCCTGCCGTCAAAGTCTGAGGTCACCCAGCCTGCCCAGCTGTTATCCAAGTCTCAGGAGTCCAGATTAGTTACCTGGATACTTCGACAAGAGGCCTTGGGCTATGCTCCTTCCCACAGTCATGTTCGCGCCACCGTCGCGGCCCTCTTGAGACAACAAGGCTGGGAAAGGCCTATCGGTGTACACTGGGTAGCCAGGTTCATGAAACGACATTCGACCATAAAGACGAAGATAGGGAAACGTCAGGAGGCCTCGAGATTCAATTCTTTTACTCCAATGGCCGTCAATTGGTACTTTGATATCCGGGAAAGCGAGTATGGCTGGATCAAGCCTGAGAACACAGTTAATGTTGATGAGGGCGGTATCATGGCTGGATTTGGTGAGTATTTATTGTTTTTATCATAAAACTCACTAATACGTTCCCAATACAGGCTTGGATTCCTTGGTTATTGGCAGTAGCAATCCCAAGAGGAAGGCCTTCCTTAAAGGCTCTCAGTCCCGCGCTTGGACTAGCTTTATCGAAGCCGTCACTGCAGATGGCCGTCTTCTGAAACCAGGGATTATTTTCAAAGGCAAGGAACTTCAGCAGCAGTGGTTTATCAACGAGTTCAAGAAGATAGCCGACTGGTATTATATCACTTCTGAAAATGGCTGGACAGACAACCACATCGCAGTTGAGTGGCTCAAAGAGGTCTATCTACCTCAAACCCAGCCGGCAGATGATTCTGATGCCAGACTTATTATATTAGATGGCCATGGAAGTCATGTATCTGCGAGTATCTACCTGGTCTGAATCATAAATGCCGCTGACCTAAAACTCAGGATGAGTGGATGGCTACCTGCTTCTTGAACAACGTATATTGCTGTTACCTGCCGGCTCATTGCTCTCATGGCCTACAACCGCTAGATAATGGCGTTTTTAATGCCTCCAAAGCTGCATATCGCAAAGAACTCCAAAAATTGGCAAGCCTGACAGATTCTGCGCCGGTGGATAAGGTCAACTTCATTAAGGCCTATGCCAAAGCCAGGGAAGCGGGTATGACTAAGAAAAACATACTCTCAGGCTGGAGAGTGACTGGGAATTGGCCAATTTCACGACGGAAAGCGCTCATACATCCAGAGATTCAGCCAGACAAGAAGGAAACTACGCCTGCATCAGAGGGCCTCAGTGACAGACAACGCGACTCTGATAATACGCCAAAGACCAGCCGTCATATCAGAGATCTGGGAAAAAACAAGAGCCCTTCTACCAGAAGACGGTATTCTGTGATATCGAAAGGGTTTGAAGCCCAGGAGTCACAGATAGCCTCGCTGAGCGCAAGAGTCACCAGTCTGGAGGAGGAAGTCAGCCGGTTGAGTAGAGGCAAGAAGAGGAAGGCGATACCCAATCCCAACAAGAAATTTATGACATTAGCCGAGGCTCTAGTGGCTGGTGAAACTACTTCCGAGCCAATCCAGGCAATTGAAGAGACAGGGGCTGTTGAGAATGTGATTGAGGTGGGAGGGATGCAAGAGGATGGAAGTTCAAATTCGGAGGCGGAAGAGTTACCCGTCGTACGCACCCGCAGCGGCCGCGAAGTAAAAAGACCGAGAAAATATTAAAATTCATTCAGTTCTAACCCGAATTCTGGAAATAAATTTATTTGTACAGTTTTTGTTAAGTTTTTCCCATGAGGTTGAAAATGTGAATTTTGTATGGGGAAAAAGTCTTTTTGCTTACCGGTAGGTGGGTATTACCGGTAGGTGGGTACTGCATGGTACTTAGCGGATGTCCTCGGGGAAAGGAGGAGAGTATCAATATATACAAGTTTATTGGCCGACTTTTAGTGAAAATCAGTATCAAGGTGGCAAGGAAAGTGACCACAATGGCCCACCATAGTGCTGAGGCAGCCCAGTGATCTTATTGGATTGGAGGCAATTTGGATTGGACTGGAGTGGACAGAAAATGGCTGGATTGGATTTCATGTTTCCCAAAATTTGGATTGGATTGGATTGATTGGCAACAGGATCCTGGAGCTCCAATGGTCTAACCCGATATGGCCAGATCTAAGCCTAATTTGGTGGTTGTGACGTAGTCTCCCGTCGCACACCACCACGACACGCGCACCTTCTGTAACACCCAACGCGCAACAGATAGGTCGAGCAAAAACATGCAGGAAACCGCGTCGCTCGCGTCTACAACAGTCCTTTTACTATGGCAGACGTGTCTAAACAGTCCACTCACCAGCTACACCATGGCCACTATCTCCAGCTATTTCGGCGCTACCAGCGCTCGGCGTCCGGATTCTGACAGAGTTATTCTTTCTCCCGCATATATTAGTCCTCGTCCAAATGACCCCGCCGGAATCCTGATCGAACCTGACGAATTCAAGCTGAATGGGAAGCAGTATGTTCGCTACTGTGTCGTAGCAAAGTCCCAAAAGCACACTAAGAAGAGGACATCAGTTGTCTGGCAGTATGGTGAAGATATACAACTGAAGCAGGACGCAACGAAGAAGTTCTGGTACTGTTATCTATGTGAGCAGCAGCAGCGCCAGCAGGGGCTTCCAATTTCCGGCAAGGACAACTGCACTGCCTTAGACCACCTCGAATCGAAACACCAAATTGACAGGGAGACTGGTGAGCATAGACCTGCAAAGAACGACCCGTCACAGCCGTAAATTGTCGACTTCAACAGTATATCAACCATTGTATTCAAACGCCGATTTGACGACTTCAAGGAGCTTCTTATTCGATGGATCGTCTACTGTCACATCGCCTTCTTCCAAATCGAGAACCTCTACTTCCGCGACCTCCTCTTCTATGTATTTCCAGGCCTAACAACGCTCCTTCCAAAAGCGAGCCTTGTGATTCGCAAATGGATCATAGAGGCATTTGAGGCGCGCAAGGAGAGGCTGCGTCAAGAAATGCAAACGGCACACAGCAATATATCGATATCGTTCGATTTATGGACATCGCCGAACTACCAGGCCACTCTGGGATGTGTCGCGCACTTTGTCAGCAGAAATGGTAAGAGACGAACGGCGGTGCTGGCTCTTCGCGAACTGGTTGGCGAACATTCGGGAGAAAACATGGCAGATGTCCTCCTACACATATTTGGCGACTACGGGATCAGCGGCAGAATCGGTTATTTCATGGCTGACAACGCGACTTCGAATGATGCCTGTATTGACCTGGTCCTCCAAGCGCTTTATCCGAACATGAGCAAGAAACATCGCCTACGACGACGCCTCCGGTGTTTCGGCCATATCGTCAACCTTTGCGCCCAGGCCTTTATTATGGGAAAGGATGCTGAGAAGACCTGCAAGGATCTGGAATCGGCGTATCGAGAAGGAGACTTAACACGGATTGGCGAGCTGTGGAAGCGACGTGGTGCAATTGGAAGGCTCCACAATATCGTACGGTATATTAGAGCGAGTCCTCAACGCCGCCAATTCTTCAGATCAATAGAACTAGGCGGTGAACTGGCTGCATTCGATGGATTAGAGGTAAGGCCCTTATTCCGCGCCGCATTTTAATGCAACAGCACCGTATATTCCCACTTCAGAGACTGATGTTCGAGTGTCATGCAGCTTGTTCAAAGCCAGTCGACGCGCTGGAATTCTTATTTTCTATAGATTGGACGCGCCCTTAACGTCAAAGAACGCATCCAGCTCTTCTGCGATCAATATGAGCCTCCACTGGGTGACATGGGCGTCCTGGATAACCGGCTTACACCGCGGCAATGGGATGAACTCGGACACCTCCATGACCAACTCGAGACATTCTACGAAGCCACAATCATGAACGAAGGGAGGCAGTGGACTCTTGCGGATCATTTTCAATCGTTGGATTGGCTAATTGATGAAATCCAACTTGCTCGG